ATAAAGTGTGTGTGTATGTGTGTGTGTGTGTGGGGGGGTCACAGAATGATTTTCAATGATCTCTCAAAATGGTAACCAAGGAGGACCAGCAGTTAGCATAATGGCTATGTCGCTGGACTCCCATGTAGTTGACCCTGGTTCGAGTCCTGGACCTGGTGGCTTAAACTCATGCCAGGCACATGTGCGTGCGTGCCCAAGATCCCAAGAGGAGAATGGAGGAGAAGGGATCGCGGTGTGGCCATCCCCTCTGGTGAGCGCAAGCACCCTATAGCAAAAACCTCTCCAAAAAAAAAAAGGTAACCAAGACATTATCAAATACATGTTTTTTTAGAAACAGAGCACAAGCAGCCTGTTGGCGAACAAGCAAATACATCATATGACCTGTGAAGAACATAGATATAGTGCCCAAAGTAATTATTTCCCCAGATGGAGAAACAGTTGTAAATGAAGGCAAATGCTTCAGGGCTTGTAATATCACTGAATGAAGGGTGTACTTCCTAAAGACTTGTCCCCTTTACAAGACAACATCTAAAAGGGACCATAAGTCCCATTTTGAAGGAACTGAGTTACGGTTACTTTCTGAGTCTCTGGAAAGTCTGTGGGTCTTTCAGAAGAGTTGGGACATAAAAGCATGTCAGCCGAAGCTCAGTGCACCTGACAGAGCCTTGCAGTCCCCCCCCAAACCCGGGCTGAATTTGGTGGTATGGGCCTGCAACCCCGGGTTTTAGCATGAGAATTCAATGCCCTTGCCTATCATTCTTAACGATCAAAGGAAAAGGCTCTATCTAGCACCTTGTTGCCCTAGAAGTGGTGAAGAACAATAAATGATTATAATGAATAAATGATGGGAGAAAATCTGCAAACATACTGTTGTGATGCTCAGGACTAAGAAAGAGTTCCCTAGGCAGGAGATTTTCCAAATTTAGAGAATATTTTGTGCAGCCTGTTAGTGCAGAATTGCCTCAGGGGTAAGAGCCCTTGATGGTCTCCCTGCCTTCCTCACATGCTCTGAATGATGTCACCATTTCGGATTGATTTGTGGCACTTGCACTGTCCAGTATGCCTGTGCCGTGTGGTGACAGGTGGAGAACCTGCCCTGCACCTGCATCTGTCATCTACAAACAATATCATTTGCAAAGTCAAAACCATTCAGGGCACATCGAGGGTGCCTGTGGGAGCGCCTGGGATGGGTAATGATTCCAAACTCACTCTCTGGCTTCCTCACATGACAAATCATCTGGTACAATGATGAAGAGAAATGAGGACAGGCTATATTCCCTCTGTGCACATTCCAGTTAATTTCCCAGAAGCGAGCACAAGCAATGCAGGTTCCAAGCACAGAGTTGTCTAGGGTGACAAATGAAGAGGTAGTGGGGCTTTTGTGTTTTGGAGGGGTGGAGGAAGGTAAGGATTGTAGAGTTGGATTTTCTTCTTTTTTTCCTATAAGTGAGCAGGAAGAAAAAAAATAACTGCACTGGCAGGAAGCTTCCCTTCTCTAAGGAACCCAGGGCAAAGACAAGGTTTGATGAGGTGAAAGGTGTTTAGTATGCTAACCAAATGCTGCATAATGTGGCTTTAGAGCGCTGATGGAATTGATAAACGAAATCTGGGCCATCCTGCTGTGCTGAGCACCCCTGCTGTGCAGAGCAAAGACAGCTCATATATTACAGAGCTTGATGAGAAGGGGGAGCGGGTCAGCAACATGGGTTCGCAACTGCTGTGGTCTGTGAAACTGAAGCATGACGCAGTTTGATCCTGCCACCAACTGGTTGGGTGATTTGAGTAAATTTTTGCCTTTTCTTCTTGTTCCTCAAAAGAGGATAGTTTCTAGTTGATGAATCACTTTGCAAATGTGATTTGCAGACACCAAATATTGAATGTATACTGCAGCTGCAAATCTGTGAGAATATGACAGCAATGGTCATTTAAAGCTTTATCTGATCTTAGCTGAAAAGCCAAGAAGTGATTGGTTTAAAGCTCATGCACAATGATAGGCACTGAGGACTGAAGGACAACAGACCAAATACACTGGTCAATGAACGTTTTGGGGCAGGACAGACCTGGTTGCTGGTCAGGCCCTCATGCTTCCTGGCACTGAGCAATGGGCAGCCCAGTAAGGTCTTGGTGAGGTATGCCAGGCAGGACAAGGGCAGCTGATGAAGTCTACCCAAGGTCAGGGTCCTAATGGTGGTGACTATGCCCTATGCAGACACAGAATTTACAGAGTCTTTGCTTACTTAAGACAAAGAAGCACTTCATTCATCACTTTCTTAATGCCAGGCTGGAAAGCAGGGAACTCCTTGAAACTGAAGCAGTCAAGGATTAGTGAGTGAGAATTTCATACTCTATCAGCCCTCCCATGAGAGCATGTGGCTGGTTGTTAGGGCTAGCTAATGTTAAAACTAAGTTTATTTAACAGGAGATCTTGAATGCTTCATAGAAATGATTCTGAATAGCTTCCTCTTTGTTTATAATAAAACCCAATTCTAGCTGAAAGGAAATTACTGTATCTAACTTAAAAATAATTTCATATACATTCATTCCATCCCTCCCACCATCAATTCAGCAAACTTTTACTTATATCATAAAAGCATGTCACTCTACAGAAATAATGTGAGAGAGAGAAGTAAAATATATCATTGATGACCTCATACTGAGGTGGTGTTCCAGATTTTATCTACATAATGATCTATGAAGTTATTACATTAATGGACATGATTTTCATTTTATGGAAACCAATTAGGGCCAATAAGTCTTTACCTTCTTTCTAAGGGCTCCAACTCGGAGAGTTTCCATCTCTCTCTCCCTTCCTTCCCACAAGTTTATTCAACTACAGAAATGACATCACATAAAACTTAATAAACCTTTAACTTGAATTTTTTCCTCAGAGAAAAAAGTCTTTACAATGACTGGGAAATCATTTCTTTTTTTGTTTTTTGGAGAGAGGTTTTTGCCATAGGGCACGTGCACTCGCCAGACAGAGAGACAGAGAGACAGAAAGCGAGAAATCACCCCCCAGTGGGGATGGCCATGCCACAATCCCTTCTCCTCCATTCTCCTCCATTCTCCTCTTGGGATCTTGGGCACACACGCACACCCACCCAGCATGAGTTTTAAGCCACTGGGTCCGGGACGTGAACCGCGGTCGACTACATGGGAGTCCAGCGACATAGCCATTACGCTAACTGCTGGTCCCTCACTGGGAAAATAATTTCTGGGTTTATCTGAGTAGGATTCCAAATTTCACTGAGATAGACAGGATTATAATCACCATTTAAGTTCCTAAAGTCAGCTAGTAGTGGTCCTCCTGTGGGGGATGGGAGGGGAGAACAAAATCACAATGTTTTCTGAGAGTCTGGCATCAACTCAGGGCAGGGGAGAGAGAGATCACAGGATCATCCTGAATCTCAGTTACTGAGGAATGAATTGCCCAACTTACTTTAACTTCCCATATAAAAGCAGCTTGTATTTTATAGGATATTTATAGATTAAATAAATAATTCCATATATATTTATTTAACCTTTGTGTCAACTCTATAAAGAAAGTGTTACCTCTCTTTTTTTTTTTTTTCCTTTGGAGAGGTTTTCGCCATAGGGCGTGTGCGCTTGCCAGACAGACAGAGAGAGACATAGAGACAGAAAGCGAGAAATCACCCCCCAGGGGGGATGGTCATGCCACAGTCCCTTCTCCTCCATTCTCCTCTCGGGATCTTGGGCACGCACGCACACGTGCCCGGCGTGAGTTCTAAGCCACCGGGTCCGAGACACGAACCACAGTCGACTACGTGGGAGTCCAACGACATAGCCATTACGCTAACTGCTGGTTCCCAGTGTTACCTCTCTTTAAGCTGATGAAGATAGAGTCAACTATTGGGTCATCAGAAAAGTCATGACGCATTTTTGTACAGAAAAATACGTCATGACTTCTCTGACAAACCAATAGATGGGCTTAACTAGATTAGCATTATTGGTTATTGATCATAGTGTTCTAAATTCTACAAAGAAATCTTCCACAGGTGTATGTCACTCTGAATCTTATATTTCTGGATATAGATATTAGACTGTCAGGATTTTTCTATGCTTTTTTTAATGTAAAAATGTGTCATGCCTTTCCTGATAATCCAATATATAGCTAGAACTCTCGTTTGATGATGAATGAAAGTTCATATAGCCAGGAAGAGGCATACTGGGCCTTGGCAGGGGCCTGGACAGTCAGTGGAATGTCCACCACCCTATCACCACATTGTGCAATGACAAAGCTAAGCTGGGGTGATGAGGTGAGTGGTGGCTCCAGAACAAGGTCATTCATGAGCACGGATAATATGACAAGCCTTTTGCTACACCAAGCACAGGAGAGGCTCTAATTTCACCATCTCGGAGCAGTAACAGAAAGAAGGGAAGGATCTTGAAAGTAATATAAACATTTGCATGGGTTGCTGGATGCTAATTTCCCAAGCATATAAACTCTCCTAAGCTGGGTTGCAAGATAAAATACAGAATACCCATAATGTCCCATGTAATATTGGAGGGCATATTTCTGCTGAAAAAATTACTTGTTTATCTAACATTCAAATTTAACTAGGTACCTCGTATTTTTATTGATTAAATATGGCATCCCTAGATCTACGGGAGAGTAAACCAATCTGCTGCCTCTGGTTTGCCTCACTGTGAACCAGACACATCTATACAACAGAGATAGAATCTACCAAAAGCAATTCTGATTAGGTACCTCATCTGAGATCATTTTTATTTCTTCTGACTTGAGCAGTCTAAACTTAGAACTATTAAGAGAGTAAAGCATTTATGAAATTACTATACTGGGAAGACCACGTATTACATGATGGTTAGCTAAGGCTGGTCTCTGGTGCTAACCAATGATGTGATCCAGACTGTCCTTCCATTGCACAGCTCTCCCTAGGTGGCTCTGGACTGAGAGTCCTATATTCAGTTTTGGCACCATGTCTACCCCGTCCCATTCATTGAGTAAAAGAGTTACTTACTTGTATGGGATGTGTTTGCTGCCGTTGACAAGAGCCAGGATGACATTGCCCAGAGCAGACAGAGAGAGGCACAGGCCTGAACCTCCTTCCCGATTTTTGCTAAGAGCTTTCACACAGCTGCCGAGATCAATGAGATGTAGGCGGCTGCGACCTCCGGACACTACCATAGGAGAGGAGACAAGAGAAGAGAGATGTGGTTAAGTGCTGACAAACAATCATCTGTTCTTTATGCAGCTCCTTGGGAAATCTGAGGAAAAAGGAAACGGGGGAATTAAAGTTGAAGTTTGTGACCTAGCACGAAACCTCAACAAAACCATGCTGGAGTTATAAATAGAACTGACCCTCTTAAATTCTGTCACTCCCACACACTGACCTTCTAAAATCCATAGTACTATTGATCTATAACTAGAGGAATAATTCTTTTAGATTGAATTGGATGAGATTTCAGAAAAGATAAATGTCTAATTAAAGGAGGATAATATTTGTACCTAAATGTCCTTTGAATAGAATTCTAAACTCATTAAGTTAAAACCTGAATGGTCCATGAGTGATTATCCTCTAGCTGGTTTTCATAGAGACCTCCTTCTAAAGCTCAGCTAGGAAAGAGGCTGATAACCCAAGGTAAAATTAGGAAGAGTAACAACCAGGTGCAAAGACAGGAAGACCCAAGTATTTTCTGAGTACCTGCCAACTGCCAGGTGCTACAGAAACATCAGTCTCATTCAATTTCCCTGGTAAAACTGGGAAAGCTAGGGACCAACAGATAGTGCAGTCAACCATGTGGACTACCACTGTGGTTGACTGTGATTCGATTTCTAGACCTGGTAGCTTGAAACTCACGCCACGTGCGTGTGGGTACATGCCCAAGATACTGAGAGGAGAACAGAGAAGGAATTGCAGCATGGCTCTCCTCCCTGGGGGGAGATTTCTCACCTTCTGTCTCTCTGTCTCTGTCTTTCTGGTGCACGCACATGCCCTACAGCAAAAAATCTCTCTCTTAAAAAAAAAAGAAAAGAAAAAACTGGGAAAGCTAAAAATTGTCATCCTTTCTTATACAGATGAGAAAGTGAGAGTTCAGAAAAGTTAAGTAACATGCCCATGAGTACTCTGTGTCTGGCCCAGGGACAAGATTGCCTTTCAATTCCATTTTTCTATTGACTCAGTAAAGTCTTCCCATACTAAGGCTTTTATACTATGAGCAAGTGGGGTTTAATCCCAGAAATCCAAGATTGGCTAACAAAAATTTAATCTCAGTATAATTTACCATATAAACAAACTTAAGAAGAAAAATCATGTGATTCACTCAGTAGATAAAGCAATAGCATTTACCAAAACCCAACATCCATTCCTAATAAAAATTCTCAACAATACACAGACAGAGGCAACATCCTCAGTTTGATAAAAGGGCTCTACAAATAACTATAGGTAACATCATACTTAATGGTAAAAGGAAGATGTCTTCCAAGATCAGGAACAAGAATTTCCACTCTCACCATTTCTGTTCAATAATGTACTGGACTACTTCTAGTCAGTATAATGAGCAAGAAAAAATAAATAAGTAAAAGCTATCAAGAGGGGAAAGAAAGAACTCAAATGGTCTTTATTGGCAGATGATATAATAAACTATGCAGAAAATCTAATGAAGTCCACAAAGAAGCTACTAGAACTAATAAGTTTAGCAAGGATGAAAGACAACAAGATCAACAGATAAAAATTTGTGTTGTTGGGGCCAGCAGATGGCATGGTGGTTAAGGTGCTGGATTCCCACACGGCTGACCAAAGTTTGAATCCTGGATCTAGAAACTTGAAAAGCCCAACAAATTAATAGATAAATAAATGTTTCTTTAAAAAGTTCATGGTGTTATGTCTATATAATAGTAACAAATAACTGGAAATGGAAATTTTAAAATATCATTCATAGTAGCATAAAATATTAACTATTTAGAGATAAATAGTACAAAAAAGACCTATATACTAAAAACATGGAACATTGCTGAAAGAAATTAGTGAAGACCTAATAAAACTAGAGAGAGATACGGTGATCATAAATAACAAGACTTAATATTGTTAAGATATTGATTCTCTCCAAATAGATCTATAAATTCAAGGCAATACCAATCAGAATTCCACCAGACTTTTTGGGTAAAATTTGTTTCTACAACATCCATTTAGAAAATGACTCTAGGCTCCACCATAGTGGTGCACAGAGAGCACCCTTGCTTGGAAAACTAGAAGCTGCATGGGAAGCACAGGTTTGATTCTGGGCCAGCCAGCCTAAACACACCAGGTGTGGTCAAAAAACTGAATATTCATATGACAAAAAACTGAACAGCTTTAAGGCATACATTGCACAATATACAAAAATTAACTAAGATGGATCAAAGACCTCAACGTAAAACCTAAATTTATAAAGTTTCTAGAAGAAAAGCCTAATAATAAGTCTTTTTGACTTTGGGTTAGACAGAGTTCTTAGATGGTGCAGCTGTGGTAGTGCTTGCTACTTCTTCTCAGGTCTAGGATACAAGGGAGGTCCAGGTTCGATTCTCCCCCACCCTAAAAGGCTGGGTGCCATGGTGTACTCCTATAGATCCAGCGGTTTGGGAGGTTCAGGGAGGACAACTGCAATACATAAAGACTCTGCCTAAACACACACACACACACACACACACAACCTAAATTATAAGGAAATTTTTTTTAAAAGCAAGAGATTTGAACAGATGATGTGAAGGAGGTATATGAAAAATTTTCAACACCATTAGTTAGTAGTAAAATACAAATAAAAACCGCAATGAGATACTAATAAATACCTATTACATAAAAAGGAAAAATTTAACAGACTGACCATACTAAATGTTCATAAGGATAAGAAGGCACTGGAACTCTCATATAGGGATAACAAATGATTCAACCACTTTGGTAAACAGTCTGGCAGGTACATCTATTACATGGTCCAACCATTTCAGTTCTAGGTATTTACTCAAAAGAAAAGGAAATATATGTCCATACAAAGATTGTGCGTGAGTGTTCACAGTTCTTTTATTTGTAAAATCCAAAAGCTGAAAACAAAATAAATGTCATCACTAGGTGACTAGATAGACAAATTATGGTATTGCCAAACAGTGGACCGGTAAATGAATGAACTATGGATACATGCAACAAAATTATTGAATCTCAAGATAATACTGGGTCGTTGGGAAAGCCATGATGCATTTTTGCATAGAAAAACAAAAATAAGTCATGACTTTTTGGACAACCCAATAATTATAAGTGAGAGAAGTCACACAGAAAAGTATAGATAATACGATATGATTCCATTCCTATAAAATTCTAAAACATGCCAATGAAAGTATAGGAACTGAAAGCAAATCAGTAGTTGCCTAGGGAGAAGAGAAAGGAATGAAAGAGAGTCCCAAGGAAAGTTTGGGAAATGACGGATATGCTCATTATCCTGATGTTTGGTGATGATTTCATGGATATATTGTACAAATGAGAAAAAACTTATCAAATTATATAGTTTATTTTACATTTTTAATTGCCAGAGGGTGAATAGACTTTCTAGAGAGAGAGACAAAAGGAGGGAGAAAACACCCCTCACTTCCCACAATGGGGCATAGTCACACCACCACAATCCCTTCTCCTCCATTTCTCTATTCTGCTGAGATTTGGGGCACACACGCACATATGCTCAACATGTTTTTCAAGCCGTGGGGGCCAGGACTTAAAGTACAGTCAGCCATATTTGGCTTCCTGAAGCTCTAAGCTGCAGGGCTGGCCCTGAATAATTTAAATACATGCAGTTTATTGTGTCTCAAGTATATCTTACTAAAGCTATTTTTTTAAATGGAAACTTGTGAGGTCAGTAGGTGGCATAGTGGTTAAGGTGCTGACTCCTACATGGACAACTGCAGTTTGAGTCTTAGACCTGGTGGCTTGAAAAACCATGCAGGGCATGTATGCGTTCACACCAAAAATTCCAAGAGAAGAACGGAGGAGAAGGGACTGAGACATGGCCATCCCCCCGGAAAGTGATTTCTCATTTTCCTTCTTACTGTCTGTCTGTCCCTTTCTCTTGGTCTCGCTCCCGCTCTCTCTCTCCGGTGAGCTCATGTACCCTATGGCAAATACCTTTAAAAAATAATAGAAAGTTGGGACCAGCAGTTAGCGTAATGGCTATGTCACTGGACTCCCATGTAGTCAGCCACGGTTCACGCCCTGGACCCGGTGGCTTAAACTCATGCTGGGTAAGTGTGCGTGCGAGCCCAGGATCCCAAGAGGAGAATGGAGGAGAAGGGATTGTGGTGTGGCCATCCCCCCTGGGGGGGGGTGTCTTGCTTTCTATCTCTCTGTCTCTCTCTCTCTGGCGAGCGCACGCACCCTGTAGCAAAAACCTCTAAAAAAATAATAATAATAATAGAAAGTTGTCCATGATCATGCAGCTAGAAGTAGAGCCCAGTGCTCTTCCTCCTACACCACCTGGCCTGTTAATTTCAGATACGGTGGGAGCTGTAAGGTTGCCTTTGTGTCCTTGGCCCAACCCGCCCAGCGTAGTGTGGCCCTCAGCACACACCCAGCTGCTGTTCCTTTCTCCCTTCTCCCTGCCTCCCATCCCGGCTCTCCAGGCAGCAGCAGACTCCTGCTCTCCTGGATCTCTCAATTCCCACCTCTCCAGGTGGCCAAGTTCACACCATCATGACTGACACACCTCCTGCTGCTTACAGGACAGCAACTCTTCCCTCTGCCTTTTCCTACTCTATAAGGAAAACAGCAAAAGAAGAAATAGAAACTTCCCATGGCTGTTGTAAGGTCATGTGGCTTGGGGCAAGGTTGAAAGCTGTTGATAGAGAGAGTGACCTAGGATGTTGGAGGTAGGTGTGTCAGGTTAGGGTGACTGTGTCTAAGGAGCACGTGGACCATGGCTGGGCACCTGTACGTCTGCAGAAGGAGCCCAGGTGACTGTGCTGATGCAGGAGGGCAAGGCAGTGCTCATATTAGAGGATGAAAACATCTGAAAACCACTGTCCTAACCCCAACCTTGCCTCTGTCCCATCACACTCTCCCTTTCTATATTTAGTACTAAGAAAAAGAGTAGCGAATGTGAATGTTTTCAGAAAGCACAGCATTGCAATTCAGTCTCTCTGGCTACCCTGAGACACCTATGAC